GGGGAATCGGGAGCTGGGAGGGGTGCTTGCCTTCAGGCGAGAGAGTCTTGCCTCCTCTCCACTCGTTTCCCCTTCCCCATCAGACTCAGCCTCTGCTCTCTGACGCGTGAGGCTTGGTCAGACCTGCCTCCCCATAGTACTGAGCCTCCGCCCTCAGACCAGTGTCTCCCCTTCCTTGGAGATGTCTCCCTCCTCCTATGACCAGGGCGTCGGCCCTCATCTTTTCTGCCCCTGCTGCCATCATGCAACCAACCTTTCTTCTCCATCTGACTCAGCCTCTGCCTTCAGACTACATCGTTTCCACCTGCTGCCCTTTCCCAGTCAGACCCATGCCTCTGCCTTTGGACCCAGCGTCTGTCCCAATTCCTTCCTCCCGATCGATCTTGACCTTCCCCACTTCGACTAGAGCCTCTTTCCACCCAGGCTTCCTAGCCAGCCTTCCTCCTCTGACCAGATCCCCACTCTCCACTCAGGGCAGACTGGCCTTCATCCTCAGGCAAGCCTCCCCCCCCCCCCCCAAGACCTGTCTCCTTACTCCTGGTCCTTGCCTCTGACAGGATGTGGCCCCCTCCCCACCCAACCCCGACGTCCATCCTCCTCCCTCTGACCTGACATCTCTGTCTTCACCCTCACACTAGATCTTGCCTTTTGAATGGACAGGACCCTGCCCCCTCCCTCACTGTGCCCTAGCCTCTGCCAGCTCTCAAATGAGCCTCTACCTTCAGACTAGGGGCCTTGGCTTCTCCCCTGCTTCTGACCAGAGTCTGGAGTCACTAACTAAAAGCCTTCTCCGTCTGACTTTAATCCTTCCTTCTGTGACCCTAGTCTCTACCTTCAGACCAGACAGCTCCCCTCTTCATAGCTAACCCCTTGCTCTGTGGCACCCTTGCTGGGGGTGGCCCTGAGGTCTTGAAAGCTGGGGGACATCCCCCTGAGTATGGCCACCCCTGTGGAGGGTCCGGCTGGCCAGCAGCTGTTTGTTCCGTCTGCCCGTCGCCTAATGGCTCCAACAGGCGTGGGGCGGCGGCCAGGACGGGCGAGGCCTTTGCCGAGTGAGCTCACGTCTGCCCAGGCAACTGGGCCAGGGTGGGCAGCGGGCATGCTGGGCCGGGTGTGGAGGGGTTGGGACATGGGATCACCTGGGCAGCAGCCTCTGTCTTCCCCATCTTAGGGGTGGACGTGACCCTCACCCAGAGTGCATGAGCCATCCACGCTGGGGAAACTGAGGCTCAGAGAAGGCAGACAGGCTGGGCCCATCAGAAACTGGGGTGCAGAGGGCCCCCCTCCCAAGGCCCCAACATGCCCCCTCCCCGCCTGCCTGGCATGCCTGAAGGAATGTCCAGGCTCACAAGGGGGATGGACAGCAGCTTGAGTGTGGCCAGCGCACGAGTGCAGGGGCCTCCGATCTCTCCCGGCTCCACACCAGGGCCCAGCACGGCATCCACCACCAGCCCATAGGCATCGTTGATGAGCTGGACCTGAGAGGGCGGGCATGGTTAGAAGGTGGCCTTTGGGCACTGCCTCCCCCTTCCCCCCTCAGTTGCCACCAAGCGCTGACCTCTGTGGGCAAATAGGACAGGAAGGGGATGTCCATTTTCTCGCACTGGGTAGTCAGGTCCCGGTGCAGCAGGTCTAGTGAGCGTGTAGGGTAGAAGATGGTCGGTTCATACTCCTGGTGGGGAGGGGCAGAAAGGAGTCGGCCCTGAGGGCCCTTCCAGGCTTCCTACTGGGCCTTACTTAGCCCCCAGATCTGGATATGAGGCCAGAGACCCTGCCTGGGGCAAGCACTGGGCATATTCTGTCCCTCCTGGGACACTATCAAGAGGAGGAAGCAATTTCTGCGGGGACAGGGTTGAGGGGGTGACCCTAGGAGGCCAAGGGGGTCCTTGCTACTCACAAACACCCGCAGGTGCCGGGCACAGACCAGCCCCACCGCCCCGTTCTGCTCCGGGCCACACACGACCAGCACTGTCCTCTGCTTCCGGGAGAGAGTTGGCAAGGGGAACACCTGGCAGGGGGCACAGCAAAGGCAAAGGCATGATGCTTGGAATTCCTCCTTATTCGGGTGGGGAAACTGAGGCTCGGAGTAGCGAAGGAACGGGCATGGGCCTGGAGGCAATAGAACAGGAGGAAAGACATTCTGGGCAAGGGGCGTAGCCCCTTGGGGCCTCAGTTTCCTCCTTGGAGATGCAGAGTCCTTGCTTCAGGCTCTGCCAAGCTGGAGCAGGAAAACGTGCCTTCTGCCACCACCCGGCGCCCAGAGTGTGGTTTGTTTATTCTCGGCCTGAGTTGCAGACATTCTTCCACCTTTTTCCACCGCAGTGGCTGCCCCTCCCCCGCCCATGTTTCCAGGCCTCAGCCCTCCCAGAGGCCCCAAAGTTGGTGGGGGGGGGGGGGAGAGACAGAGGGAGGGTATTTTTTCCAACCTGAGATGCCCTGTCTCTCTCCATCTGCCTCTGTCTTCATCTATCTTTCTCTCTGTATCTCTCTGTGTCTGTCCCCATCTGTCTCTCTGTGCCTTCATCTCTGTCTCCTAGACTCTGTGTCTCTATCTCTGTCTCCTAGATTCTGTGTCTCTGTGGGCCTGTGCATCAGTTTCTTTAACACAGGAGTTAAGAGCACTGGTGTTCAAGTCACAGCCCTGCCCTGACTCTCTGCATGGCCTCTGCCCCCTCTCCTCTCCCAGCCTCACTTGGCCTCTATCGATTGGGAGTGACAGTGGCACTGACATGGGGCCTCTCGGGGACAGGGCACCCCAGGGGGCCTGGCTGTACCCTGACCTCCAACCACACAGAGAGCCAGGTATACCTTTTTTGTCTCCTCCCCAAGGTCTCGGTGAGGTCCTGAGCCACCTGCGACCACACTAAGCCAGGTGCGGAGCCCTGAGACCGGAGACTGAGGGAGGCAACAGTGACTCCAGCTTGACTGGGACCGAGGGCCCTCTGGACAGACTTGGGGCTTTCGGGGCAAAAACTGGACGGCGACTGGTCAGCAAGGGCCAGGCAGGAGTTTACTACACTGGGTTTACTTTTACTTTTGGGGTTTCACCATTTCCTTCTCCTTTGGGACCTTCACTCGGGATGTTTCATTTGAAATAGAAATGTTAAAAAAAACCAACTGAGCCTACATGAAGAAAGCGATTGTGTTCAACAAAAGTTTGCAGTGGTGACAAGAAGAGGAGGAAGACAGGGAGGCAGAGAAGGGTTATATGTGGGAGCCCTGACACCATCGGGCACTTCTCTAAGGCATTCGTATTTATTAGCTGGTGTCAGTTTATTGCTCTTTCTTTGGAGGGGGAAACAGGCCCGCGGTTTGGCAACATGACCAAAAGCACGGGATAGCGGCATCTTCGTTGCTTATCACTCTCGCATCCCTTGCGGGCACCTCGAGGCTGGGACTCTGCTAACTCCTCCCTAGGACCTACACTATTCAGGCCACCCCTGACTCTGGGCCTCAGTTTCCTCATCTGCAGCATGGGGGGGGGGG